TCGATGCCTGTGGCTGTGTCGCCCGTCACCAAATCGTGCTCAACTGACAGGTAATTTTCTGAGTACGCCTTCGAAATCTTGAGACGGGGGGAGAGAGAAAAACGTAGCGGATCATGGGACGCGCATCGCCCCACCGTACCGATTTTAAGCTTTCGCGGTAACTGAACGCAATGAAGCTTTCTCGCGTGATTCGCTGTGTAAATATAAAGCTACAAGCCAACATTCTGGAGACTGTCGCTGCCTCCATCGTCAGAGTAGATACTTAGAAGGACGACCGCGTGAGAACACTTCGTTGCACTTTGCTGTTCCCAGAAGAAATGTAAATCCAAACGCAAACTATGAAATGCATAACTAAATAATCAAGTATCTGACGAAGCCCGTCATAGAAAAAGGACATCGTGTGCCACGGAGGGCGAGCGGGGAAAGTGCAAAAGTGTATTTTGTGCAACTCTCAGGAATATTCAGGTACCTGAGAAGGAACATGTAAATAGGTAATTAATGGGGTCATACTCTTCTGTGAGGTCATCATGTGTGTGGACTCACCTCGACATGTGTCGGGGGAATTATCGTCAGAACAGACCTATATTAGTTCATTAACTTTTGTAGTACTTTTAAAATGTCAGATCACGTACGCCAGAGAACTGAATTGCACGGACAAATTTATTTCAATATCTACACAACGTGCCGACAAGAAGGTAGGTCCGATCAGAGCAGAGATCCGTCACTCAGATACGTATGAGTAAACATCTGGTGCTTGCATCTCATGCAAAAGCCAATTCTGAACAACTCCACGTCCCAGAACCTTTGAGATATCTAGAAAATAAATTGGTAAACAGGGTCATACAGTCAACGAAGCCACTTTGCCAAACTACACTTTATGTGAAATCGAAACTAGGAAAAAAGGACTTATGGAAAAGGTACTCATGCTAAAACCAAAAATACTGCGTGGGGCATAAGCCACCAACAGGGCGATGAATAAGCGAATAGGTCAGACAAGGTAGAATCTTGACCAGAGCAGTGGGAAAGACGGCAAGGATCGGGCGAGAGGATGGGAGCATTGTCTGACCCGTTCCCATATCTCAAGCCAATTCCTCGCACGTGGCTTACTCACTGCCCTGATGACGGAGGTATCAAGCACCTGCGAAACATCAGTAAGCGTCTACCAGACCACGTGGAACAACATAAAGGAGGACAGTCTTCATTTACGGCAATTACATTCACACACTACATTTCCCTGCTGTTTTTGATAAACAAAAATTATATTATTAAATCAAGGAAAACATAAAATAATAAATATTCCTACAACTGATATTTTTATTTCGTGGGTTGAAGACAACCAACGGGAAACACAGAACTGTTTCATTGCTACCAACTTTTCAATCCTTGGATGCATGCAAGAACTGGAAACCCACAGATTACAGCATTTCCATAAATTCTGTTTTTTTAAAAGCAAATATTTTCTTTTGGGGCCATTTGAATATTTTAATAATTGAATTCTTCACACGTAAAGTTATCCTGCAAGCTGCTACAGAATCTCCTCCGCTCAAAGAACCTGGCGACCGCATCGCAACCGACTTACTTCCCATGTTTGGATGCGGTGAAGACAACTTCTTCCAGCTTGCCCGCGGCGACACACATCCTGCAGACGGTGTGCTTTCTGCGCACCAACGGTGTCCTCACGATCCTTGGCCACTGAACATCAGAAGCTGGTCTGTGGCCTGCACACAGACAAGTTAAAGGAACAATTAAAATTTGGCGCGCTCAATCAGTGCCGTGACAATCGTAAACTCCTCAAATAGAAACCGGCATTATGACGTCATTCTTCTGTCATATGGTCTGAAGCTTTCGTGGCGACGTGACTCGATAAAATCTTCTCGGGCAATCGTATACGGTCCCTGAAACGTCGGTTCCTTCTTCTGACCAGTTGACGTGGCCGATCGCCCGAGAAGATTTTACTGTTCTTCCGAGTTGTAATATGTGGAGCTTAACACAAACATTTCAGAGAGCAGCAAAAGCAAATGACAGATTTAGGTCCATTGTAGGAGGTATGGGACAATGGTGTCACTGAGACAAAAGATTATTACACACTTTTCATTCAAAATGAAAATCATGATCTTCACTTAAGTGCGGGCGCTTTCATATATAAAGGAGTCACATCGGCACATACAGTTTGCTGGTGACCTGTTGCATGTGTATATAACACTTAGGTGTCAGTGGCGTGATATTACCGTTCCGGAAGTGTATGGTGGAACGGCCGACGAAAACTATGAAATACTGGATGGCTTGTGTGAGAAATTACAGCGCGTATGTGATAAATTGTGCAGGTACATCACAAAAACTGTCAGGTTTTAAGTTCAAAAGCAAGGAGAGACAATACTTTCAAACCAAGAATCAGGTATGAGTATTTAAATGAAAATAATATAATTTTGAATGTAAATAGAGTAGCGTACTTTGCGACGTAAAAAAATTTAATTACCAAGAGAATATTGTCCCCCAATGTAGTTGAAAGGTTCCTGATCTCAACAAACACACCAGACAGAGAGAAGACAGCATCCAAGAACGATCTTTTAGAGGAGATGACTGTGGTAGTGACAGCTCCGTCCGCATATTCTGACATTTTTAAGAATTATTGAATATACATGGTTCCAAGGACGTTATACAGAGCTGAGTGATTACTACCTCAGTCCATAAGATATTGTAGGTGCGTCATATTGTGATTTATTTAAATAGTATTAAAAATATATTAAAATTGGCTGTCAATCACAATATAAGATAATTAAAAGATTAAAATATCATTTTTCGTTCCGTATCGAGTACTCGATTTACATATGGAACATTTACCGCAGCACCGCAGTCGGTAACCAGCCACGATCCGATACAGTATACCTCCAATCTCTCCTAATACTGCTGCGATATTACTTCTCGGTCCAATATACACAACATTGGCATCACTACGACATGCAATTATATTAGTGACATGTGACACAACAATGGATGAAGATACAATATGAAGGACGAGAACATGATAAGAAAAATGAAAACTAAAAAGCATTAAAAATCAGTAATTCAGTTAAAAAGTTTATAACATAACACCTGATGACGGCTCTATGATAGCCGAAACATGTCGTAAATGTTCCATATGTAAATCGACTACTCGATAAGGAACGAAAAATGATATTTTAATCTTTTAATTATCTTATATTGTGATTGACGGCCAATTTTAATATATTTTTAATACCTCAGTCCAGTTATTCTGAGACCAAGGACTGGCGCTGAAAAGCCGTAGATCACCAGGTATCGATCAAATTCTAACAGAATTTAAGAGGCCAAATGTTACGTTCTGATAATGGTAAATAAATGTCATCAGCTTCACCCTGGCAACAGACTAATGGGGTAATAAAGTTTAGAAAAATTTCTTCGTCCATATCCCAACAAAATTACCTTTTTTAAAAACGACGTATGAGAATCTCTCCTTCCTCGCATCGCATCTCCCTTCGAAGGGCAATGGTATATACGACACCTCAAAGTTACAGGGCGTCGTGTCATGCATAAACCTAGGGCATGGTAGGTCATGTGGGCACTGAAACAGAAACAACGGCAAAAATTCGGAACCACACGATGTGCTCTGTGACATTAGTTATTATTGAGCTGCTCAAGAAACTCCATGTTATAGAAGGTCCATCACTACGCTGAATCCGACACTGGGCCAGCAGCATCAGATCGCACCTTTGAACCACATCCCTAAGCCCCAATTTAACTAACTCACTCTACGGTGTAGGGTAATCTTTGAAAAGTCTACCGTATACTCGGCTCGTCAAAGAACAAACCCACTTTCTTCGTGAAACCCAAAAGTTCATCACCATGTTCACAAAAATCTGCCACCGGACTCTATCCTGAACCAACTGTATCCAGATAACAATAAAAAAATGACTCTCCCATGAAGATGGATGTCTTCTGGGTTGTAGAACACAGCCATCTTCATGCTCAACTGTCATGAAAACCTCAAATCCTTCTGACTTTACCATATTTAATCAGTATTTATTGGTGGAACCTCTCATCCTGCTGAGCAACTGGTAATGAACAAGGACTGTCAGAGTTACATTCACACAAGGGTAGAAAACAGACCGAGGGTGTTTGAGAACGGAGCGCTCGGGAGGATATTCGGGCCTACGACGGACAAAGCAACAGAAGGGCTAAGAAAATTACATAATCTGTACTCTTCACTCAAGTGTTATCAGGATGATCAAGGGCAGGATATGCAGCATGCACGGGAGAGATATGAAATGAATACATTTTGACCTTAAAGAAAGAGAGTGGGAGAATTCTAAATCGATTTATCTGGCTCAGGAACGGGAGAAGTGGCACGCTGGTGCATGCGGCGATAGGCTCCGGTTCCACAAAGGATGGGGAAATTGCGACGCTAATTGTCACTCATTTCCTCCACAGAGTTAGTTGTTCTGTCATCCGAACGCTGCTTCCATAACACAATACATAATTTTAAGGCAAATGTCTTAAGCTCATTACAAGTGTTTGTTTTTTCGCGAATCCCTTTGAGTGTTACATTACAAGTCAGTCAGTCAGTCGAGCGGCGTCGTAACGAGCATTCACGAGTTCTTTAGATAAGAGTAGCGTATTAAATGAAACAAAGATAACACAACCTCCACGTCCGACATATTGAATGAAATGAATGGAGCACACATGAGCACAGTCGAGCCGAGCGTTCAAAACGAGCATTCGATGCGCCTCACCAGTTGTGGTGTAATGTAACATGCTCGCCGCGAATGTTACATTACGAGTAAATGTTACAAGTCAGTCGCCACCTTTATACTCATAAAAAATAAACAGTCGCTAAAATTACCAACACAAAATCAAGTACTCGATATTACATTTTTTTTAAAAAAAAAATTAAAATCCTATAATTAAATGAAATTAAGAAATTCTGACAAAGTGTAAAAATCGCACTAAAAACATAAAACCTTCGTACAGATGGCAGCCATGCAACAATTACATACAACTTCGACGTCTTCAAACTAGATGGCAACGCTGTGTAGACCAACAAAAAAGCTCTCTTAAAGCTGAGGGAGAAAAATATGTCTCTTCTCTCTGACCCATCTAAGCCACCTCAATTTAATCACTCTTAACAATATCACGACAGAACTTCGGAGTTAAAAGGGCCCTAATATGCTATTCCTTTCCTCATCAAAACGTCTGCGTGTCAGAAATTTGTACCTGATCTCGTCTTCAGGGACTATATTGAAACTTCTATGTCAAGGGTTACAGATTCAATTTCCTGTCAGTTCCGTGTGCAAACTTTATAAACAGATGGAAACATTAAATGCAGAGAAGTTCGCATCGTGGTTTGAAGCTCACGTTAAGCTCACGGTCCCGTCCGCCAACGCAAGGATGCAGCAGGACCGGCCTCCATCTCGCAATTTACGAGGGTTCAGAAGTCATAATTCAAGACGTCTGCGACAAACAAATCAGCTGTCACTAGAGTGGGAACACTCACCGGTGAGAAGACATGCGCTACGGTAACCGATGGATGGATTTCTTCTCCTTTCCCAAGTTGCAGTATGAAATCCCTTGCTTCATTTATAACCTTAAAAATATTAAAAAGGTAATATTAAAACCAACAGAACACCAGAAATTCAAGGGTAGATCTGATCGTACGTCTGTACACAGTAATAAAAATAACACTTGTCGGAATGCATATTTACATTACAATACAATTCATTCGGTGACTTCGCTTACTTCAAAGCATTTAAATTCCACCGTGAGGCAAAATGTGAAACTTTAACACAAAAGGGTTAATTGAAGTTTGTGTATGAAGCAGCTCAGAAGTTTGCAAAACAGCGACATTGATATCACGGCCAGTGTTTAATTAAGTACGCAAACAGGTGGACGCAGTCGCACAACGCTCAAATGAAACTCAATGAAAATCCATCAGATGGTTTTCAGAAGTTATTACGATGAACGGGTGCTTATGCAAGTCAGCGTGGACCGCGAGCCAGCCTTCGGCAAAGATCAAGAACTGTTACCTCAAGCATTTTTCAACACGAAGTTTTGAAATGTAATTCAATGGGAAAATTAAGCACTGCAAGACTGCGCAGAACGCGTCTCTCACGTCAATCAGCGCTGCCGAGCGCCACAGATTTTTATTTCCAGTAAATGATCGCGTACACACAATTACAAACAGCATTTATTTACAGCACGTACTTCGGACTGAATACATTTTTAATACGGGATTACACTACTGTAGCCAGAATACACGGGGAAACTTCGTCAGATCAGTACTAAGATTGGATTTAACGGGTTTCACGGTACGAGACAAACTATTCATTCATACACCCACCTTGAATCCAGTGTTTGTGCCTTGTTCCACTATAATCAAATATCTGTTTGTCTTGTTCCACAAATTAATTATAGTTTCTAAGCGAGTCCTCGCTGATGGGAGTTCCAGAAGCGTGTAGGCACTTACGACGACATCATACTTAAGCTGAAAAATTAACGCATGTTACTTATCCGCAAATAAGTGTCATTCTTAACGTGCTGAAAGAGTAAAAACAGAAAATGCATGATGAATTTTCGTGTAAAACAGAAACTAAATCCAGCTGTGTATCGTAGGTTCAGAAGGTTGAGACGGCGCGCTGTCAATCGCTCCGTACACTCTGTCTCTTCCTGTCGTCCTGTCCGGTGTCGCCGACGCTTTGAGGAGGAGAAACGCAGCCAACGGAATCACAGTCTGAGATCAATTACCGTGTCGCATCTCCATCTTGAAGTCTCCTAATAATCAAACTTTTATCTCAAGACTCTTCCGGAATATGACAAACTTAGTCTCGGACTTTGGCGCTTGAAACTAATTGCCTTTGCAGCTTTAAGTCTCATAAAATGCCTAAGTAATGAACATTCACAAAGTAAAAGAATCTGTAATTGCTTCCCGTACATTGAACTGTGACTGAAGAAATAAAAATAAATGCCATAAAATAATTATAATAGAGAAAACTCTCACAGAGTCACACAATTAGAGTATTACGTAACAGTCGCCACAATATTGTCTACTAATTCTTGATTTAGAATATTCACGGCAAAATTCGAGATGTTCTCAAAAGTGGTGAATTTGGAAATAGTTTACTTTCGAGCTAAAAATTAAAAAAAACTTCATAAAATTGTGTTTATGAAGCTCCTATTCCTGGAAGAGCTTTTCGAAGAACACATCAAGATTTGAGATTAATGTCATTGAGGTACGACCACCACAAAACACAACACGTCCACATTATAATATAACCAAATGCAATTATCAGTGCCTCGTTACTGTGCAGAACATCCAAAATATTTGTACCACACATTCCAATACCTTAATTAAAATAAAATGTGAAAATAATATTATTATAAATAAACAAAAAATATACAAGCTGCTTGCATTTGGGAAGGCGAGTTGTTTTGAAATTTTATACACAGGTAAACGGATTAATCCTTCGCATTCTAGTCTTTGTTTGCGACCCGCGGCATTTCAAAAGTACGCAAACGGAACTTGTCAGTTTTATTTTCATAGATTTTGCTGACATCCTCCCAAAAATAAATTACATTTTCTATAGTGACGAAAAAACAAAAGCTGCAAACAAAATTATCTGCACGCCTGGTTCATCACGAAACCGTATTATCTAACGGAGGCGTACCGTCTGAGAGGCCGGAAGAAACTGTCTGTAGAACACCGTTTTAATCGACATCTCGGCTTCTTCGTTCCCGCCTCGCAGCAAAAGGCTCGCCAGGTCATTCATATCTCCCGACGAGTCCACGTTGAAATGTTCTTGTATCACGTCTCCCCAAACAGCTCTAGCTGCCCTAGAAAACATCACCACCAAATAAGTAACAGCAAATCATACTGGAGATGAGACGGAACGCAACAGTTCATGAAAATGTAAATTTGCAGAGTATTTCTGAAAGTTCAGAAAGTGATATGATATGTAAGAGACGATTAAATTCTTTAGTTTGCGTTGTTTCAATCTGTATATTTCCAGCACTGCAAGATCACGGGTTACTTCAGCACGGTTCAACCTTCAACTGCGTGGTGGCGCACGAAGTACATTTCTCTCGTCTCGTATTGCCAGAAACAAGGTTTTATATTTTCGCATTCACTTTTGGGAAATTTTTCATGTTTGGACACGAATGGGTTGATGAGATCCATATTTTTATTAACCTCCTCCCACATGCGCACATGTGCGCATACACACACACACACACAATCATTCGCTACTGTTGGCCACTTGCATTATGGATTACAATAAGCTACATAAGTAACACAACATTAATAAGAAGCTTCAAGTCATATATGTGCTTTTCTACGCACTTTTTGAAGCTATAAAATTTTCTTGGGCAGTCAGCCATGTCAATGCTGTATAAAATGCCAACATTTTGAATACCAGCTCCGTCTCCTACATCACGGTAAGTCTGAGCTATAACCAAATTCACTGATACATTATCAGTGAGTCTTAGCAGTGGCCCCTCCTTATTATCATGTTCAGGGCTGTGGAGTCGGAGTCAGAGTCAGTAAAAATGTACAGACTCAGACTCCGACGACATAAAATCTTACGAACACTTTCGCTACTGTGTGGGCCGCAGGCGGCCTCACGCTTGGGGAGATTCAACGACGCGTTGAGCCACGTGGTGTGGGAACAACCAAACTCACCTTTCTCTCTCTACTTTCTCTCCCTCTCCCACTCTCGCCCACGTGCTACCATTGGTCCACTCCCATACCTGCTCCCATTGGCTCGGGGTAGGCTACACCTTTCACTTCCCAGGCCTATAAATCCATCTCCTCACACCCCATTGGCATATTCATTGCCCTGATGACGGAGGCAGTATGACCTCTGAAACGTTGGTTAACATCGACCAGACTACACAGCGCAACAACCCAGAAGACGGATATCTTCATACTCACCGCTGTGAGAACCTCAAGTCTTACAATGCTTTGTAACTTTGTGCTCCGGTACCTTAAGAATACAAACTGTCTACAAATCAACCGATTTCTGCAATAACCATTAGACGTATAATTAAATACTGGGATACTGGAAACGACCCGTCTTCAAGTGCCTGAGCACTGTGGATCCCAACTTTTCGTTGGCTTGATCTATAGACTTTCGGTAGGACTCCTTGGACGAGGGATCGGCCCTTCGTAGGACCTCTACCTGTACACAGGACACCACAACACAACATCCATGGCTTGAGTGGGATTCAAACCCACGGTCCCAGTGACCAAGTCTAAAAATTAGCCTGATGATTAACGTGGTGGTGATAAAATCATTTGTGGTACCATTTACCATTTTAGTAGGTTCAGCATTATTAATACATATTTAGCTTTCATGAAGGAGTCGGAGTCAGAGATTTTAGTACCGACTCCACAGCCCTGATCATGTTATATAACTACAGAGTGCAGAAAGGTAGCTGTATCAGAAACCTGTTCAGAAAACCACTCAGACACAGATCCTTGTCAACTAAGAGTCCCCTAATGGCCTGAAGGACCTCTGAGGGACTGGTTAATTCCGGTTCACTTTCATCGGCAAACTCATATGAGAGATCACCAAATATATCAAATGATACGTGAGAATAATCAAAAAATAGCAGACAGAAATGGTGACAAATGCGAAGTATTGAGGAAACCCATATTAAACCTTAGTTACTGTCAAGATTTAAAACGTAAACTTTCAGAAAAAGAGTTAAACCTACTGACAATGCATCCGCAAGAAGACCCTTTCATACGAACTGCACACACAACCTATAACTTTCAGGTGTGACTAACACTGCTGACCGTTGCTCACCATGTCCCTGTTCCTACGCCCGATCCAAAATCAAACATATAATGAGGGTTGAAGTCGGGGTCTCGAGTCTTGATTTCCGTAAAAATCTTCCGAAGGACGGCGTACTCTGGAGCGAACCTAGCCACCATATACAGCAGAGCTTCATGTTCATTGTACACAACTGGCTTCCAGGAATATAAAGTTTCCTTGAGGCGTTTTATAACGTAGTTCTTGTACTTTAACTCCAGTTCTTCTTGCTGTTCATCTGTTAATGACGACGAATCAATTCCGACTGAAAGCCATTAGAAAAA